AAAAAAAAAACACCAAAAAAAAAAAAAAACTAACCAGGAGTTCAAGTGCAAAACTATGAATTTGTTTGTGCATTTATTAATTTGTTTAGTTATTTCGTACAGCTTTGTTTGTCGATATTTTAATACTTTTAAATRGAACGAAATTGGATTTAGCATGCAGTGGCATTTCTACAGAGTAGCTCTTCATCCACTGAATTCCAGTTTGAATCTAGAAGTTGAATTGATTTTCGCATATGTAGAAAAACCGGAGAACACGAAGAAAAACCCTCGAAGCACAGGACAACCAACAAGCAAGTCTACTCACATACGACACCGATCGAGTCCAGGAATCGAACCCGGTCACCTTGGTGCATGAGAGGCGAGCGCTCTCATCTCTACGCCAACCGTGCTTGGATTTAACTCCCAGAATTCATTTTTTTCAGGTTTCTTTGACAACCAAAGAAAAAGACCTTGAGATATTCGCAGACAATTGTTGCTCCACACCGACACGAGACCATGAGAAGTCAAAGTACCTGAGACACACGTTCATCCACAATGGGTGAGTGACGTCATAATTACTCAGGGGAGGCCCAGGGGAGGGATTGTACTTGAGACAGACGTACATCCCCAATGGGTGACGTAATACTTAATCAGGTAGGGGCACAGGGAGGGATYGTATCTAGAGATCGATATCCATCCACAATGTGTCAAGGTCTAGGATTGTGTCAGGCGACACACACAGTCATCTTCATTAGGCGAGTGTGCTACAGAGGGCTTGCATCTGATATTTATTTATCCACGAGCTCAATAGGGCGGATTTGTTTCAGTAGCTAAGTGTACTAATTCAAATTTGCTAAAAGAATTTCCGTCTTGAATTTTAGATGTCCTACTGACAAGACAGTAAGGTTCCATTCCTCGCGATCTAAAACAACCCAACGCTTCAGCCTGGAAGCCTTCAAGTTCCTGGGTGACCATCCCTTCGTCTTTGTCCACTGTCATGTGCTGGTCTGTGACGCAAAGAATCCCAACTCTCGATGCAAGAAAGGCTGTATTCCAGGCAAACCTAGAGCTAAGTCACGCAAGACTAAGCGTGACGTTAGCGTTTCCAGTTTGAAAAAGATGAGCGCGGTCACGCTGAGCCAGGGACCATTTCTTGTTGATAAAGAGACGCGCAAGGAAACCAAGCGAGGTGAAATTCCAGTACCAAAAATGACACGAGAAAAGATAATGAAGCAAAATAATGAGAAAGAGGAGAAAGAGACCAGCGAAGAAAGAGGTACATATGAAACTGTTGTTCTGGTTGTAAAATTTTTATCCACATAAATCTGTACTCTCCAACTACATACTAAAGAATAAATACTCAAGAGAATGAGACGTGGTCTGAGACGGTAAAACCTTAGCCCCAGCAAAAAGTTTATATTGAACTTAACATTAATGTTTTTTTGCAGGGTTTCCTCATGTTGGGAGTGTTCTTTTGATCGCTCTAACTGTAGCCTCAGCCATGGCGTTAGTAGGAGTCATTTACATCAGTTTTAAATCAAGACAAGTTGTTCCATTTKGATACAACCAACTTACCACAAGGAGTGATCGTCTTTGATTCACCATCAAGTAGCCAATGCATTTTATTTTTGTACCTAACCTGCTCTACTGAGGGTGTCCATTCTTTATCGTCGTTCTCATTGTACAGCGCGTTTTTCCCAGACAAGACCACTGATACAGCGAAAGCTTTTCTCAGGACGTTGATAAATAATTTTGAAAATGATTTTGACCACTTCCAAATATCTTTTATACTTTATCTAGTACTCTAACCAAATAATTTCCAGTTGTATCGCTTTCTACATACCCTACAACCTCTTTTACTTTTTAATCCTTTTAATTCGTAAATCCTTCGCATTCACAAATGTTCAAAAATGAAATGCGCCGCGGGCAATGGTTCGCCCCAGAGGGCGTCTGGATGACAAATCCTACTCACTGAATGTACGCACACTCATCAATGTATACCGACAAATTCAAACAATAAAGTCCTTCAAAATATATTTGTGAGCTTTTTGACTTGGTTTTTATGAGCTAAACTTAGTTACATAATATTCATATTTTTGACTCAGAAGAGTGATGTTGTGGCGATGACTTCATCAAGAGTTGGAAACAGATAGGATTCTGATGAATATTGCAAATCAGTTTTAGTATGAGTGGAGAATAACATATACTTACTGCTCAACGTAGTTCCTGGGGAATGGCAAGGTATACTGAGGAAATTTTTAAAAATTTAAATAATTACTGCGTTGTTGACGCAAAGTCTCCCCAGGGTTCAATTTGCAATGCTTTTCGGACTGCATGCACAAATCTTGTGCGTTATAACATTGTGTATATCTTTTGTTTCTTGTTGTTTTGTTCCCTTAAGACTATTAACACTACAATATTATACTTTATCACCTGTCGCGGTGGTGTTCAGCCGTGATCGTATAGTGGTTAGTACATTGCGTTGTGGCCGCAATAACCTAGGTTCGAATCCTGGTCACGGCATTGAATTTTGGGGAAAATTTTTGATTTAAATATTTTTAGTATTTTCAATTAAATACTTTTGTCAGATTTTTGTTTGAATGAATTGCAAGCTCGTTTCACATCTTATTAAGAAAGAAGCAAAGAACTTCTCGATTGTAGAAAAGGCTTAACGTCTTTTTAATGATCATGAGTGTGAAGTTTCATGAAGTTCAAATCCAGTGAAAGGACCTTAGAAGCCCCAAATCAACTCGAGCTATATACACCCACCGTGATTACGTTTCTTTTGATCTGCTTTAAAGCTCTTAAATTAATTTAGACAATCAATTCGCGTGATGTTTTACGAGCATCAAATGTATCTACCCACATTGCACTTGTACGCCATCACTTACACCTTCCCCTCCCCCAAGGAATGGGGTACTATCGATGGACTTTTGAGGCGGCAAAAATCTAGAATTAACGAGGCGGATTGAAAGCACAGGCTCTGTTATTGAATGAGCGTGTAGAAATAAGAATGCATCTGCAAATCTGGTATTGGATGAACGTATAGGAATAAGAATGTACCTGAAAT